TCAAGGTTGTTTGCTTGTAACTGGATGTTGACAACTTGATTAGTAAAAAAGTAATGCGTGGGTGGATTTATTTAGTGTGTGTTGGATTCTTTTCCATCACAAATTACCCAAGTAATCTACCCGAAATAAATGTTTATGGATTCTGTTACATGTTATATGAGAGTAGATTTGGAAAAGAAAGTTGGGGCAGAAGTAAACAGTGCTATGGAGATGGATGTAGGTACTTCAGGAGGAGGTTTGGTTTCGGAACCTTATATGGGGGATAAATAATAGGTTAGGGTTTAGAGTTTTTATAGGCCTTTTTTTTTTAATATTTTGAGCTTAAAGTTTGGCAACACATTGGGTTTAGCACATTTTAACTTACAAATTGGGTTTAGAAAATAATACCCAAAACAAATAATTAAATAAAAAATTAATTTAATTAATTTGGTTCGGTTCGGTTTGGTTCGGTTTCTAGATCATTAAAACCGAACCGAACCAAAAGAATTCGGTTCGCTTCGGTTTTTTCAATTCGGTTCGATTTTTTTGTTCGGTTCAATTTTTTCGGTTTCGGTTCGGTTTGGTTTTCGGTTTTCGGTTTTTTGAACCCACCCCTAATCAAAGGACCAAACACATCGAGATTGATGTACATTTTGTTCGAGAAAGAGTGGCTTCAAACAAACTTCAAGTGCAATTTGTGTCTTCCAAGGAACATTTTGCCGATATCTTGACTAAGGGACTTAGTGCACCTTTGTTCAAAATTCATTGCAGCAATCTCATGCTTGGGATCTCAAAGCCTGAGTTTGTAGGGGGGATGATAGAGATAGTGCTTGACATGTTGACACTTGTCTAAATCTTAGATAGGCAGTTAGTTTAGTAGAATCTAGTGAGTTGTATAAATACCTCATTCATGTAATAACTTCTTGGTTAAGTAATCAATACATAAGAAATAGCTTGAGCTTTTCATCTCTCTCTCTCTCTCTCTCTAAGTTCTCTCTCTGATATTGCTCTTACAAATTCATAACATATACATTAAGACGAATTACATGGAGGAAAATAACAAGAGCAAACAAACAAAAGTACAAGAACATATTTTGATAAGCAAATATATAGATATTTCATCAAGAATCTAAAGAGATTTTGTTTGCTTATTTCCCTTGCATATCAGATTGCTGTCGATATTAAGTTTCTCCTTCGACTTAACAATTAGTCTCTTTTTGTATACAGAAATTTCACTTTATTCTTTTGCTCCAAAACCCTATTAATTTCAAACATTCACGCGAAACAGACTGGAAGCGGTAAGCACAGAATTATATATACCCGTATTAGCTGGAAAAACGTATATCAATGGAAATATCCGTCCTTACAACACTGAGCTACATAAGAAATGCTTATAGTTGGCAAAACTTGTAAACTCAGTGGTTAAGAGCTATTATCGTTACATTCTTAAAAAAAAGTAAAAAGAATGTATATGGTTCTATCTTTCTTTCGTATCCCTCAACGTCTTTTGAAAGTATGCAAAAACTAATAAAAGAGGTAAAAGTGAGGTTCTAAAAGGTGCTAGGTGTTTAGTCGGATGGTGGGTAGGGGCCTAGCGTCCAGGCGTCTAGGCGGGGGCTTAGGCGGTCATTTTAATTTTATTATATATTTGTTATATAATATATACATAAATGTCTACTTATATTTAAAAAATGCATAATCGTATTTTGATACATAAATTGCAAAATAGAATAACATATATATATATATATATATAATATTAGAACATGTTGAAAACATGGGGACACAAGCATATAATAAGTGTTCATCCAAGTATTCAAAAACTAAAATGTAAAATGAAAGTATGAGTCGTGACCTAGATCCGCCTAGACAGATCTAAGTGTCTGTTATTACTTTTCAAATACCTAGGAATGAATCGAGGTGGTACTAGCCGCTTAGCGCCTAAGGGAAGATTTTCATAACAGTGGGTAAAATGCAAGAAGAGAGGCCAATCCTTGTGTTAATTATGATAAAGTATTTATCCATTAAATTGGTCAATGAAAGAAAGTTGAGTTGCTGGGGTACTGGGAAGTATATCCCCCACCAAGTCAATGACTCAGATTTTGGGATGGCCCCGCAAATATTCTTTAGGACGTATTAAGGTGCATGGAGGACAATGAAACTAAAGTGAATCACAAAGTCACAGTATCTTTGAGTAAATGTCAAGAAAAGAACAAATAAGGCCAAGATTTAATGTCTTCATTTGAAGTGGACTTAAAAAAATAAAATCTTTTGTTCTTGGACTGGAATATGAATTATACCATATATAAAGCACGCGTAATCTCACCTTTTCCTCTAAGTCACACAACAAAGCTTTCTAGCCTTGTAGCCTTCTAAGAATTTTACCCTAAATCATGTTTGTTTTTTGGTCTACACACCAAAGTAATTCTTTCTAGGCATGTAGCCTAGAGCCTTCTAACAAAATTTGAATTAATTGTGATCGAATTTGCAAAGGGCTTGTAACAAGTGGTTAAAATCAAGTATCTCTGCATTGAAGGTCTTAAGTTTGATTTTCTTCTTTGAAATTCGCTTGTATGAAAGGGTTGTGATAGAAGTGGAGCATTAAGCATAAATAACGCATATTGAGTTATGTACGAGCATGTGTAGTATTTCATCAAGGGTATCATTGATGACCACATTGGAGTGATATACGATAAAAGGTATAATTTTTTTTTGGACGAGTGAAGCTACTTATATACAAAAACTATCTATATTGATGACCACATTTCTTGTATAGGCTTGTGGTTGTTGATACACTACATATTGTGTCATTATTATCTACTACAATGTTAATTGACATCAATCATATTAGAAAACTCTTTGTAAGTATTCATTACAAACGATAGAATAATCTACATGAAATTCATTTAAATTAGGGAGAGAAATTCATCAATTATTAATTAACAAATGATGTGTTATATATAACATGTTAATATTTTACTTATCAAAATAAAACTTGATTTTGAATGAGCCAGGGATAGACCCAGGATTTCAAAGTTGCCTTGGCTAGATTAGCCTTAAATAGAAAGGTTTAGTGGGTTATGATTTAAAAGGGCGTAATAGGTTACGATAGGACCGACTATTTTCAATTGTTGACTAGGCTATTAGAGAGTGTGATCATGACTGGGCTCTTAGAACTTAGAAGGGCGTGAAATTCCATATGGCCTATACCCCATATATGCCTCTACAAGTTTGTGCCTGAATGAGCCTATATATATTTTCATCTCTTTAGAATTACCCAATTCATAAATTAACCAACAAAATAATGTAATTATCATAACATTACTTGCTATTACTAATTCATGTATCTTAATACACAGTGCACTGCATGTCGAGGTTATATTATAGAATATGTAAAACATTATCAAATATTCACACATAACAACATAAGTTGATGTGAACCACCATGTATATAATGTTTGGATCACACCAAAACTTACTCCTGTAAGAGTAAGACATTCAAGAGGCAACAAATACTTGTCCTATATATCATCCTATCGATCAACTCGGCTCAACAACGTATACTAGCAACACCAAATAGCATGTCATGTACGAGTCGCCTAGGCCTTGCTGCCTTTATAGAGCGAATGAATGTAAATTGGGTGTATATTTCGATGTCACCCTTTACATCACATCTAAATATTTGCATGCTTCGGCTTCGCTTAATACAACAAAACAAACAAAATAATGGTCAAATATAACACCTAACGGCTGCTACTGCTAGTCCACAACTCCACGAGAGAAGGGAAGAGAAGGGAAGGGAAGAGAAGAGAAGGGAATGAGAAAGAGGTTGAGGGCATGGGCATGGCATGAAAATTACATCAAACATGGGTTTGTATCTTCATCCTGTGTTGTGGCATATGGGAAGGTTTCCTGTGTTTAGAAATTGTGATGTAAGCCACGTACCCATGTCCTAATCACTACGATGGATACAAAAACAACCATGTACCCTCTACACATGCATGCATGATCTACAACTAGAAACATTTTTATACTTTTTCTTTTTGGTATAAAGAAACATTTATATTCTACTTGTTTGTGTAATATCAAACGTTATACTTATCCCTTATAAACTATCGTATTTGTAAATTAAGAAATAGCCTTTTTTAGGAAGTTTTGAGTTTTAATTTAATGAACGACAATAATTCATAAGAAAATTGACACAATTGATGTAGTAACATTGTGTCTTAAATAAAACAAATTAAATTTTAAGCTTCCTAACTCTAGCGGTAGAGGACTTTAACATTCATAATCTTGCTTGTTTGATTATGATGTATTGTTTAGGGTTTAGATAAACGAGTAATTCTACTTTGCAACCACTTAGGTACAATTACGTGTCTATCTTTTGATGGATGTATTGATTCTAGAATTAATGGCTAATAGGTCTTTACAGTTAATTAAGGATTGTTTGGAGTGTAAGTAAGGTTAGAATTCAGTAAAGGCTATTGCTTGGATCCTAAGAAAGGCTAATATTTGACTGATTAGGAATTAAGGGCTCCTAATACTCTCCTATTTGGAATTGGACTTGGTGGGTCAATCCTATTGGCTAAAAGAATCCTATTCACTAAGGTTAAGCCTATATGAACACAAGGCTATGGTAGCGCGCCCACACACACACCACAAAACGTCAGAAAACGTCCAATTAGTTTAAGTGCTAAGAAACGCTAAGTGTGTAAAGGACTTAGCTTGTTAACCTTGACAGGTTAACATCTCTTTCATCACATGACAATTCTTATCAATCAACAAAAACCCACACCCTTATTACTAGCATAATTAATAAAGTAGGATACAAAATCATTGTTTGGTTGAAAAATTATAACCTTGCAATGATAAAGCTAAACAAAAAAAGGACAAGAGCAGAAAAGAAAAGAGAAGGGCGAAAAGCCTTCACCAGAGGGCCCCATTGGTAACAAAGGCCGCAAGAAAGAACGCCTATATAAATCCCCTTTGCCTTCCTACTAGTCACCTCCTCTTCTGCTACTCACACAAAGTACACCATATTGGGCCCCTTCAGATTTTCGAAACGCTTCTCTTTGCACAACCACCACCACCATGGCTAGATCCCAGCAGCGGTATCGAGGCGTCCGACAGAGGCATTGGGGCTCTTGGGTCTCCGAGATTCGCCACCCTCTACTGTAATTCTCTCTCCGAACCGTTTCTTTTAAATCGTTTACAAACGTTCGTGTCATATTCCTTCAGTATTCAATGAAATATCTTCATATCATGCTTTCACTAAATAAAGCTTTCTTTTTATTCTAATGGTTAATGATAATTGTTTTAATTGAAAATTTTTATGCATATTGCTTTGATTGATTCTGAACTAGAAAAGCGTTACGTTGTTGTTTTTTAAGGAAGACACGAATTTGGCTAGGCACATTCGAAACTGCGGAGGACGCTGCACGAGCATACGATGAAGCAGCAAGGCTCATGTGTGGCCTAAAAGCGCGCACAAATTTCCCATACAATCCTAACGAGCCCATGTCGCATTCATCCACGCTTCTCTCAGCAGCTTTGATGGCAAAGCTGCACAAATGCAACATGGCCTCTCTCCAAATGGCCAAAACTACCAAACCTTCAGTGCCAAAGGAGGAGCCCCAAGAACAAGTACACATGCCGCTCCCTTCTACCACCTGGATTACCGGAAAAGGGGGCGAGAAGGTCAGGGATTATAGCGGAGCAGAACAATGGGTAGATCATGGGAGCTGGGTTGGTGGTGATCTGCAGGGGGTTCCTCATGATCATCATCATCATCAGCAGGAGTTTATTAAGCCTCTTGAGGATGATCATATTGAGCAGATGATTGAGGAGCTTCTTGATTATGGCTACATTGAGATTTGTCCTGGTGTTTCTGCATAGGCAACGATGAACTCAATTGCAGCTAGAGCTAGCATTTTAGAATCTTGTGTGGAAATGCAAAATTTTTTGTATTAGCTTATATAGCCTTATATGTAATAAAATTAGTTAGATGAGTTTAAATGAATGGTTATTGAATAAGGGCTTGTTTGGATGTGCTTTTTAAAATGACTAAAAGCGCTTTTAGAGAAAATGTTTTTTGGTTCCAAAAGCACTTAAAGTGCTTTCCGCAAGAAGTACCAGTTATGTGCTTCTTCTAGGAAGCACTTTAAGTGCTTTTTCTAGAATTTACTTGCATTTTTACTAAGGATTGGTTCCAAAAACATTTTCACCAAAAACGCTTTTAGTGATTTTAAAAGCACATCCAAACGAGTTCTAATAAATATATCCAAAACTTATATGAGGAAAAAGAACGACAATATATGTAAGATATATAGTACAGAGTCTTAGGAGAAATTTTAGTTAATGTTTTTCATAATATCTTTAATGTGGGGTGATAATGTCATGTTCTCAAAGTGAGGCTCAAAACGCTTTACGCCTCAGTGCAATTAAGGGTGAAACTACTTAATTTAAGTTCTAGTTTATTCTGTCAAGTTTTGTGATGTTGGATTACATTTTTCAACACTCTCCTTCACGTGAGACCACATCTTTAGTGTGCCACATGTAAACCAATTTCGCATCAGCACCCTTTTTTCCCAATAAGTGAAAGATTCGTAAATGAGTTGGAGTCTTGTTCATCGTTACGACAGGGTCTTGTTCACAATTGGAACGGTTGTTAGATCAGATCAAGTTGGAGTAGACTTGCTTCGATACCATGTGAAGATTTTAGCGGGCTGACGACCGACTATTAATCACACTAATACTATTCCAACTTAATCACTTGCACAACAAGACAATTGTGATTTTTATCATAAGGCCTTAGCGCAATTAGAAGTGGAACTATTCAATAAAATTTGTGATTCTCCAACGTGGCATTGTATTTTTCAACGTATAGCATTGGTCTCATTTCAGCTTGGTATTTTGATCAAATTTGAAAAACAAAATTGTAAAAATTAAAGTACAAACTCATTGATTATTCTATTAGTATTTAATTTTCATTATGTTAAAGGAGACTTTGAATTCAAATCATACGAATAATAGATAGATGTTGATTAAAAATAGCTTAGATATGAGTACTGTTTGAGTGGAATCTACTTTAAATCTCTTTTAATGGCCAAAATGTGTGAGAACATGGAATGCCTTGATCAGGACAACACGAAAAGGCAAGGAGGGGAAAACAAAATACTTGATATAAACTTTGAGCGAAAAAGTATTATGTGTACAGAACTGTGTTCAGTATCTAGTGGATAAGACATTTTCAAAACCTTTCGTTTTGTACCCGCTGATATTTCATATTTTGAGCTTCAACATGAATCACAAAAGAATAGATTGGTCTGGACTGTAGAAATCTTTAATAAAATATTGCCCATCCATAATCCAACAAAAAAGCAGCACATGAAGTTTGGAAATTCAATTAATGTATAGTCCAATTGACGTAAAAATTTACAATTCCAACAATACAATGCAGCAGGTGATAGATTTGGGATGCCGCGCCTTGACAATTAGTTCTGCATGGATTCGATGGTAATACGAAATATTTTCCACAAAGGGTTGTCGTTCCATTATATGTATGAAGCGGACAAGCATTCAGTCAATAGTTGTGGCAATAGTGGCAACACAGTGAAATAATGTTAGTGTCCAATTTTCGAGTCAATGTTATTTGTATATAGGTGTCTCTCCAAGCAACGCGCAATGATCAGATGCTGCCAAAATATGAACAAATTGTTGCAGACTTGGAGCCATAGATATATGACAGCTTTCCTCTCTCTGCAGAGACGTTCTCATTCTTTTCTCACTTGCTTTTCTCAGCTGATACATACATTAGACAGCCTTGTTATCCTTCCAGCTTAGATCCACTGATTCCAATAGCCAAAAGCCTCACTTTTGACCAACAGAAAAAGAAGGGGAGAAAAACACTTGCAATCCACTTTCTTGTTTTCTGTGGTTGGACACGTAATATCGTTAAGTAGTGTTATCTTTCCTCAAAAAATAAGTTGTAGTGCCAGTGAATTTTTATTTTAAGCTTTATAATTAACAATTATAAGTGTGTTACTACGAGCATTACATTCACTCGTTTTATCTAACTATTAAGAAAATTGCAATTGATATTGTGGATGCACAAAACCGGAGGGGTCTTGAAACAATGTAAATCTGACCGTGAATCTGCAAGAAATGTAAATAACACAAGATGTAATGTGGTTCACCCCAAGGTTTAGGCTACATCCACACTGATTATTGTATTTATTTGAGAAGTGAGGGGAGTGAGGGAGAGAGCTTTTGAGGGTGAGAGAACTCTTCCCATGGCCTAAGAAATGGCCTCCCCCAATTGTGAGGGTGAGGAGTCTTTTTATAGAATAAGGGCTCGCTCCTCAATACATGAATAATGGGTTAGGAGTGATGCTCGCGGCGATGCGGTTTCTCAAGTATTTTTCATGAGGCCCAGTTGAGGCCCAATATATGGTACATAATGTAGTCCCCCAAGTCTTCGGTCAATAGAGCCTGTTGGCTGGAGACTTCAAATTGAATCCATGTATGGGTCGAAGTGGCGGTTGTTCGGAGGCGGTATTTGTATACCCTGCACTGAAGCTTTGTAGGTGAAGTTTTGCAAGCTTGAAGCTTTGAAGCTAGAGCTCTGTAAATGAAGCTTTTGAAGCTAGAGCTTTGTAAATGAAGCTGTTGAAGTTAGAGCTCTGTAAATGAAGCTTTTGAAGCTGATTGCCATGAGTGATGCTCATGAATGTTTATGTTGATTGACATGAGTGATGCTCATAGATGTTGACATGAGTGATGCTCACGAATGTTGACATGAGTGATGCTCATGGATGTTTATGTATGATTGATATGAGTGATGTTCATGAATGTTTATATTTGATTGATATGAGTGATGCTCATGAGTAATGCTCATGTATAATTTTGAAGTACTGGGTGTACTTTTGATCACTTGGTTGGCGATAATAGTGGCGGGGTGCCGAATAATTTTTTGTAGTACTGGGCGTACTTTTGATCACCTAGTTGGTGCTATTTTGGGCTTATGGGCCTTCGCCCTCCACACAACATTCCAGCCCATTTATTTTGGGCTTGACGTATTTTTTATTTTTTAATTGTTTTTATTTTTTTATTACCTTCTGATGGGGTTTATACAGATGTTTTCGAAAGATAAGAAAAATAAATCACATCATACATTTGCCAAGAAAAGTAAATCACATCATTCTGGTGGGGTGTTTATTCCTTGCTTTTGCTTTCTTTTTTACTTTCTGCTTTTGCTTTCTCTTTTACTTTTGCTTTTGCTTTCGTTTTCTGCTTTACTTTTGCTTTTCCACCACATTTCCAGACATCCTTTTGCTTTTCTCGTGATTTTCTCAGAAAAGTGGGTTTCTTCACAGTTGTGCTGGGGGTGGAGCTGAGCTGGTTGATGATTATCCCGTTATTTCACCTATCATCAGTGGCTGTCTTTTTTCTTTTTATTTATTTTTTATTGCAGATGGCAGACATCATCATGGAGAATAATAAAAATATTGTAAGAAAACTTATCTTCTTCCTATTTTCCACCGTTGGTCGTGGTAGGTAGTCTCTGTAATATGATTGAATGAAGATTAAAGCTCGTTCTTCCCTAGGGTGACGGCCATAACCGGCCAATCGGACAACTTTAGCGGTAAGCAGCAGAAAACCAAGACCAAAGTCACCTGGGGATGCGGGACCCATCCCACCTGGAACTTCCACATGAAGTTCGTTATCGACGAATACCTAACTCAGCGACAAACATTTAGGCCTCCCTCACTTTTATTTTGCTTTGCTGGCCGGCTTTAATGAAAGAAGGCCCCAAATCACATAAGAGGTTTCTAAGTTGCCGAGCAAAATCTGAAACAACTTCTTCGTCCTTCCTACGAAGTAGTCATACGCCAAGGTAGACCAGTACAATCCCAAACTTCACACAATCTCCACGCCCCTCGAAAGTAACGACATAATTTCTCCTCTGGATTTCAACATCGTATTTCTCACAGTTTCTGGACCGTACTTGCGAAACGGCATGCAAACGCCGCGTTCGAAGTCGAGCTGGTCCATGGTGGCGCTAGGTTTGGTCAATTGTCCTTCGCCCGTATACGCCGCCAAGCTCTTCCACGTTTCGATTGTGACATTAGAAACTCGGAATCGCAACGGTTTCTTGCCTCCTCGCATTCGAAGCCTGTAATCAAACGACGCCGGAGCCTTTGGATGACGCATTTCTACGGTTCGACACAGTGTGAGCTCACGAGCTCAGATGCTGATTGGTAGGGAATGGAGCCGCTGTTACGTAATTTTCCAGACCCGAATCCGGAACCCAGCCTTCGGGCGAAACTAAGAGCTAGAATCTGACCCAGGGCGAGGTGAACATGGACTTGATTGACTCTTTGGTGGAAAAGATGTGGGCGATGGTAGGTGAGAGGGATGGCGGATGCTGAAGTAGAAGCGGTGGCTTTTCTCTGGTTTTCAGGCCGTAGTTCAGAGATCAGCTTCAACCCGGCTGGGTGTATAAAGAATCGTTCAATTGATTGAGTCCACTCACTCAGTAACTCGTCATTCGTCGGTTGTGTTTGTTGATCTCGAAAGGTTTGTACATACTCGGCAGACTCAGCTGGAGCAAGCGGGGTCGGGATCATGAGCTTCTCGAAGATGAGGCGGAGGTTGATACTATGAATGATGAAGAAACCAGCGATCTCGTCTCCTCTGAGATTTCCTTACGTACAGAAGCAAAATCAGTAAACTTCTTCTTAGGACAATGAAGAAACTCTGCATATTCAGACCGATTCGCTTCTATCTGATGGAGTTGCAACACCAGTGGTCTTCTCGTCACAATACCAGATCCACGAGGCAAGAAATCTCTCCTAACGACGCTTTCCAAAACTAAGGACTTTCCGAAACTCTGGCCTCCGACGACGGCGATTGTCGGAAGAGCTTCCCAGAACGACATGCCGTCGCCGCCACCATAATCTCCTAGAACGGTGTAGGCTCGCTGGATGCGATCGACCAGCCCGATCAAGCTTTCCAATCTGGCCATTGATGATGTGGGGTCGAATAAAAGTGATG